GACGACAAAAAAGACGATGTTGAGAGGAAACACGGCCACTCTGTATTGATTTTTTACAGTCCGGACGGGAGGTCCCGGATTGGGTCGCTATCGGCCGGAATACGAGGTAGGTGGGGGTATATAATAATAAAGAACAAGGATGTGGCCCCCTACCAGAGGCCCCCCGCATTGAACACCATCGGGACGTCGCTCGTCTTGGCACGGGCCGCCCGGGGGGGGGGTGCAAGGGACGCACTGAAACAGGAAGTGCTGCCAGGAAACCCGAGGGAGGCACCGTGGCCCTGGCGTTAGGTCGGGCGTGCCCCCCTACAGGGGAATCTTGGACGGATAATGAATAATAGCCGCCCACAGATATTCCAAACAGATTCAGGTCCCCGGACTATTTGGTTGACTATTTTTGCATATGCCTCCTGAAAAGGGACAGGCCCGACTTAACCCTGGCAACGACCCCCCCCCCGTCGTCACGCTCCTCCTGTGAGGGGAAGCGTGGCGAGGGGGGGGGGGCGGCGCGGGGGGGGGGGAAGCCTCGATGAAGGGGCCCCAGGACACACAAATAAATACACACAAATAAAAAGATTCCCCATATTTTCCTATATTTTCTCGGTTTGTGTCTTCCCCACCAATTCCAGATTTTCCCATATTTTCTGGGGAATCGACGATTAATTGTGTCTGTGTGTTTTTTCCCCTCCTGACTCGACCTGGAGTCGGCGATACATCGCCGATAGATCGCCGAGAGGCCCCCAGCCGCGAATCCGCACGCCCCAGGGCGGGGCGGGCTATCGGGCCCCTGTCGGCGATCATTGTGCGACTGGGGTCTGCCCAAACATGCCCAAACCCCCGACGTCATGGTTTTGTTCGCGAGGGGGTCTGGGTGAGCCTGTCCGGGCCCTGCGTTGCCACTGACTCTTGGCCCGCACTCTCGGCCGCCCCCCAGAAAAACGGAACCGCGGGCTGAGGTCGGGCGTGTCCTCCTGCAGGCGGATTTTGGACGACAAAGAAAAGATAATGCAGGGAACTCATTGGCAAAAATACTACAAACAAATCGTCCCCAGACTATTTTCGGACTATCTTTGAATTTTCCTCCTGTAGAGGGACACGCCCGACTTAATCGTGGGCCGTCGGAGCAGCCACGGGCTGTCCAGCGCGGGGGATGCCCCGGCCCCTGCGGCAGCTATAGGCCGGCTGCGCCCTGGCACAGGAGAAGAAGCCCGAGCTGGGACAAAGTCGGACCGGGCCCCAGACGTCGCGAAAATAAGAACAAGAAGAAGAAGAAGAAGAAGAAGAAGAAGAAGAAGCCACAAGCATGAATATTTAGCGCTCCGCGCGGACTTCTTGAATCCGCGATGTGGCCCCCCTCGCGGAGCGCGCCAGGGGCGGCGCCGGGGGGGCCCAGCGCGGAACCAAGAAATCCGCGCGGAGCGCCAAAAGGTTATGTTTATGACGTTTTTTCCTTCTTCGAAAAACATCCGGACGAGAGGTCTTCTGTGCAATTTCAGCCTCCCATGGGGCCCTCCCTGGGCCCCTCAACAGTCGAAACGCAACCCGAGCCGAAAAAAAAACGGGATCGGGAATGCTGGGGACCTCGCACAAGAAAAACGTCAAGACTCAAGACGTCGCGCGTCTGGTGGGAACAAAGTCGGGGGTATCTCTGAGGCCCCGCCCCTGACATGCGACGTCCTGGTTTTTCCAATACGGGTTCCCTGGAAGTCCCGACCCTTTCCTTGGAACAGGTTCCTCATCCTGAGTCGTTCTTTGACGGCCCTGAGGCCCGGCGAGGGCCCCCCGAGGCCGAAAACGGCCCAAAACCTTCCGTCCTCATGTTTTTGCGACGCGATCATGTCTCGGGAGGATGCGTCCCCTGAGATCCGACGCAGCGAATTTAGCCTGGCGAAGGACTCAACAAGATGCAGTTGTGAATGCCGCAGTTGTGGGCGTCGTCTTTGGTGGAGCTCCCCATGGGCCACGAAACGCTGTACTGGGCGGGGGAGACGCATGCGAGCTTTGCCATTGGGGCCTTCAATGGAGGTCCCTATGAACCACGAAACGCTGTACTAGGTGGGGGAAACGCGTGCGAACTTTGCCACTGGGGCTTTCGGTAGCGTCCTATGGGCCACGAAACGTGCCGCGCTGCCGCCGCGTCCGCATCGCGGCGGTACCTCCTGCGCGGAAGGAGCGGAAGGTTCAGGTCGAGGGACGCTCACGTCCCAGACCCCCGACGTAATGTTTTTTCATAACGTCGACCCTCAAAGGTCTCGACCCACTCCCCTGGACTGGCTTTTCATCCTGAATCGTTTTTTGACGCTCCCGAGGCCCGGTAGGGGCCCCTGGAAGCTGAAAATAATGAAAAACCTCCCGCTGTGATTTTTTCATGACTCGACGGGGTCTGGGGTCGTGACTCTCGTCAGACCGCGAGCACGTCTGCAGGAGGAGGAGGAGGAGGAGGAGGAGGAGGAGGAGGAGGAGGAGGAGGAGGAGGAGGAGGACGAGGAGGAGGAGGAGGAGGAGGAGGAGGAGGAGGAGGAGGAGGAGGTTGAGACCGCGAGCACGTCTCCGGGGACGCCTCACTCGAACAGCCGCACCGCCTCGCGGTCCACCTCCGCCAGCTCCGCCCGCAGCCGTGCGGCGGCCGCCCCCTCAGCCGAGGCATCGGCGCCGCCGCCCCCGCCGCCGGCGGCGAGCAGCTGCTCCGCGGCCAGCAGCGCCGCGCGGGCGGTGGCGCGGTAGGACCGGGCGTGCTCGGCGGGCCCCATGATGCCGATCCTAGGAAAAGAGAAGACGCCATACATGACTACCCACCCAGCCACCCGAGCCCAACCAGAAGGCCCGAATCAGACCCGAATTTCGTGTTGGGGGGTACGAGCTTCATATGTGTCATTTCAATGGTCCTCGACCCCCCCCTACACACTGAAGACTTCGGTCGGCATGTCCTCCTACAGGCGGATTTTGGACGAACGGAAAAAAAGAATAGTCAAGAAATGCTCCCAAATAGTCAAGAATAAATCAAATAATCATCCCCATATTATTTATTGGACTATGTTTTAACATTCCTTCTGTAGAGGGACGTGCCCGACTTCAGAGAAGACGCCATAAACATACACTTTCGACGCTCCGCGCGGGTTTCTTGGATCCGCGCTGTGGCCCCCCTCCCTGTCGCGCGGAGCGCGCCAGGGGCGGCGCCGGAGGCACCGCCAGAGGGGCCACGGCGCGGATCCTCCTCCTCCTCCTCCTCTCTCCTCCTCCTCCTCCTCCTCCTCCTCCTCCTCCTCCTCCTCCTCCTCGCCTCCTCCTCCTCCTCCTCCTCCTCCTCCTCCTCCTCCTCCTCCTCCGCGCGGAGCGCCAAAAGTCAATGTCCATGGCGTCCTCTTTTTTTCTTCGACGTCCGCCGCAGCACGCGCGCGGGCAGGAAGAGGTGCGACTCGGAGACCCACTGGTGCCTCGTGCCCGGGCAGACGGCGGCCGCCTGCATCCGGTCCCCGCAGGCCTCCGCCAGGGCGCGGAGGCCGGCCACGAGCTTGGGGCTCCGCTGCCACTCCTCCGACAGGAGCATCGCGACAGGCACCTGCGGCCTCGCGAAGTCCGCCTCCTCCGAGGCCTCCCGAGTGGAGTCTCCGAGCGGGTGGTGTCGGAGGAGAGCGTCGGCAGATCGGAGGAGGAGGAGGAGGAGGAGGAGAAGGAGGACGAGGAGGAGGAGGAGGAGGAGGAGGAGGAGGAGGAGGAGGAGCTGCTGCTGCGTCGCCGTCGCCGGCGCACCGGCGGCGTATCGACGGTGCACCGGCGATGCGGGGCACTCCTCCCGCCCCATCTGACTACCCACCAGGCCACCCCGACCCGACCCGAAGTCGTCGTCGGGCCTGTCAATTTCCAGTGAGGGGGGTGGTGCCCCGGACCCTCGAGAAGACACCGTGGAGCCCGTACACACACACACACGCACACACACACACACACACACACACCAAAACGCGCAGAATCGGGTGTGTCTGGGACCTTCGGGCGGGGCTGGGGTGGTCCGCGCGCCAAATCCATGGATTAGCGATCCATGGATCTGGCGCGCGGTCGCCAAATCCATGGATCGGGGGAGGTGCCCTCCCCAACATGCGGCCGGTGCCGCCTCGCTTGGCGGCGGAAATCGGCGATTTCCAATGGAAGCGGGGCCCGTCGCTAACCCACGCCCCCTTGATGCATGTCTGCGATCGCGTGACAAGTAGCGGCCATCTTAGGAGGCAGCTACTGGGAGGCTTTCGCCAGAAAGATAAAAAGGATTGAGCCCCATTGGGGGGCTGCTACGCCTGAGTGGGCCTCGGATTAAGCCGAATTAAACGGGATTAAGCGGGATTAAGCGGGGTTGAGCCGGATTTCGGACCAGGGTAACGTCTGAATTTGATCTCCCAGGAGCTGCATCCGAAGCCATCTGCTCGGACCCCACCTGTCGGAGGAGGCCTGGGCTCCTCCAGGCACTCGGACCAGAAGTCCATCAGCAGCACGCCCTTGTACGGGCAGGGCTCCCCCCGCTCCCGCAGCCGGCGCAGGAAGCCCACCGCGCTGGAGGCGCCGAAGGAGTGCCCCACGAGCAGCATCCTGGAGCCCGCTCTCGCTTGGCGGCGCGCACAGGGGGGGTATGGGGGGAGGGGGGAAGGCTTCTCAGGAAGAAGAGCTGCTCCTGAGGAGGTGCTGGCCTTGCATCTGGAGACGAGGTCCGCGCCTTCTGAGACGCAGGGGTGCTTCTGAGAAGCCGTCCTCCTCCCCCGTACCCCCCTCTGCGCGTGGCCGACTTTACTTATTCGCGATAACGCCTGTGACCGGCCCCGCCATCTCCCCTGTTACGTAACTGCTCGCGCCGGCGCAGTGTCGGCATTGGCCATTCCTCAGCATTCCCAAGCGGCGCCAGCGCGAATCGTGACGTGACTGGTCTGGTCACGCCCGTTATCACCAGGGGATACAAAACTGGAGGGGAAGAAAGCGAGGACCATGACAAGGACTAACCGCGGACACGTCGGCGCCAATTTTGGTCAGCGTCCATCTTGGTCAGCGACAATTCCTGGTGCTTCCTCGCGAATCGGCGACGGCCGGCATGAACCATGACCAATACCGACGTCGACAAGATCCCACGACATCTTGGTCATGGTCAGCGTGTTCCCAGACATGCAACTTCCTGACCTTTTCAATACGGGGTCCCTGTATGTCCCGACCCTTCCCCGGGACCGGTCTTCCTTCCAAGAAGTAGTTCTTGTTGACGGCCCCCAGATCATGTCTTCGGGGGCGCCCCAGCGGGGGGGCACAAATCATGGCCGGCGGCATGGGCGCGGTCCAGGGGCGGGGCCAGGGACGTATTGAAATACGAAGAGGCGCCATGAAAATTTGGGATCACATCATGGCCCCCGCCATGGTACCCCCCCCCCTAGTCACCACCCTCCTCTTTGCCGCCCCCGAAGTCTGGGTCTTGGTCATGGCCAGTTTGTTTCACGACGCGATCATGTCTGGGTCTTGGCCATGCCCTGAGATCCGTCGTAAAACGGAAAAATAGCAACATCGTTAAAGATCACGCCTGGAGCCCTCGACCCCATCCTTCGGCGTCGTTTTTCGAGCCGGATCGAGGAGAAGGAGCAGATGGAGGAGGAAGAGGAAGGAGAAGGAGGAGGAAGAGGAGGAGGAGCAGGAGCAGGAGGAGGAGGAGGGGAGAGGAGGAAGAAGAAGAAGAAGAAGAAGAAGAAGAAGAAAGAGAAGGAGGAGGCGGAGGAGGAGGGGAAGTGGGAGGAGGAGGAGGAGAAGGAGGAGGCGAAGGAGGAACCCGAAATGAAGGGGAAACGCCCGTTGTGAAAAAATGAGACGCCAGGATCTCAGGGTCACGACGCGATCATGTCTGGGTCTTGGTCATGGTCAGCGTGCTGCTTCCCCCAGAAACCGTCGAGCCCCCCGAGGCCTCGACCCCTCCCCCAGGACCGGCTTGTCGTCCCGAGTCGCTTTGGGACGCTCCCGCGGCTCGGTGAGGCCCCCTGGAGGCTGAAGATAGCGAAAAGACCTCCTGTGGCGATTTTTTCACAACGCGAGGGGGTCTGGGTGTGTTTATCCCCCCGAGAAAACGATGGGCATGTTCTCCACCACCACCACCACCACAAGCTGGAGGGGGGAAGGAGGTGGAGGAGGAGGAGGAGGAGGAGGAGGAGGAGGAGGAGGAGGAGGAGGAGAAGGAGGAGGAGGAGGTAGGGAGAGGAGAGAAGGGAGGAGGAGGAGGAGGAGGAGGAGGAATGAAGGGAGGAGGAGGAGGAGGAGGAGGAAGGAGGAGGAGGAGGAAAGGAAGAGGAGGAGGAGGAGGAGGAGGAGGAGGAGGAGGAGGAGGAGGAGGAGGAGGAGGAGGAGAGGAGGAGGAGGGAGGAGGAGGAGGAGAGAGGGAGGAGGAGGAGGAGGAGGAGGAGGAGGAGGAGGAGGAGGCTATGTTTCTCCCCCCGAAAACAAGCGGTCTCCTGTCCGGGTCGCCGCACCGCAGCAGGGCGGCCAGCGCCTCCGCGCCCGGGCGCTCCTCCGCGGCGGCCGGGGCGCCGGCCTGCTGCCCCGCGGCGCTCGCCAGGGCCGCCGCGGCGTGCCGCAGCTCCTCGCTGTGAAGGGGCCCAGAGACGCACAAAGGGGTGCTGCGTGGGCAGGGTTCGAGCTAGGGGATCGACTACAGAAGTGATTTACCCCAGAATCAGCTTCCTTGGCGAACCTACGGACGCACACTCAGAATCCTCAACTGATGGACCAAATTTCGACGCATTCGTCGTATACTGGATGGGCAAAACCAAGTTTGGGGTAAACCAATTCTGCAGTCGATCCCTCACTCGCAGGATAGTAAGGATGCGCGATAGGATGCAAGGGCCTTGGACGCCCATGTCGAAGCTTTTCGAGCGCGTCGAGGCCAGCGAAAGCGGCGAGGGATGGACCGAGGAGGCAGGGATGCAAGGGTACCGTTGGGAAGATTGCCCGTCCTTCCTGTGCTGGTTGAGTGTAGGCACGAATCCCAGGGACACACAAATAAATACTGCGTGGGCATTGGATAAGGAAGCCTTTGATAAGGAATCCAGGGTCTGGACTCCAGTGGGACTCAATCGTGGATCGGCCATGGATATCACCGCCGCCCTCATTGGATAAAGAATCCTCCAGGGTCTGGCGCCTCCTGGGACTATTCCTTAACAAACGCCTCCGTTCGTCTTCCCCCACTGCCTGTATTTTCCTACCTTTTCCTGGAGATCGACGATTGTGAATTGTGTCTGTGTGTGTGTGTTTCCCCCTGATGACGCTAGCATGGGGGAAACGAATCCTGATGGAAACTGGTCCTGGACCCTGGGGCCTTCCCCCAGGACGAGATCTTCCCTGAGATCCTGGCGTTGCAACTTTTTCGCACCCGGCGTTCTCGCCCTTTCTCGGGCCCTGGGGCCCTCACAGATCGACGCAGCTCGAAAAATGAAGCAGAAAGATGTGGTCTAGGGCTCCAGGCGTGATTGTTGCGATGTTGCATATTTTTTTTGCAACGTTGGATCTCAGGGTTCCCCCAGGACGAGAATCTTCGTCATCGGTTGTTTTCTGATAATCCCGGGGCCCATGGAGGGCACCGAAGGCCCGCCGAGAACGGGGGAAAACCATCAGGACCCGTTTCCCCCATGTCGACGGTGGACAAACCTCCCTTTAGCAAACCACCCTTTAGTGAAAACGGCCTAGGACCGAAACCGACGGACCTGGACCCGCAAAAATTACGGCCGCGACGCCCTCTTGCGAACCGCAACGGCCAATTCGCTAATTGACGCGTCAGGGTAGGAGGCCTATCAACCTCCGACCATGGCGATCCTCGGCACGGGTTTCCAGGAAGGGCCGCCGGAACACGCGCGGGTCGGATCCGTTCGGCGGCCGCACGTAAGCGATGCGCTGACCCGAGGTGCCGTCGACAGCGTGGAGGCCGCTGCCATCCTCGTGCTCGATGGCGACAACAATGGCCCCACCAGACGCGAGGTCGCGGCAGAGCTGCGTGTACATCTCGCAGGACCCCCAGAGCCCGCTGGAGAACACCTTACTCGAACCCCCCAGGAGATCTGGGCGCCGCATGTTTCCACCCTGGGCGTGTTCGCCCGGCTCCTTGTCCTGGGGACCATCACAGATCGAGGTGGCCTTCATACCATCGACAAATGGGGTCTAGGGCGCCGGTCGTGATTTCTGGCGGTGTTGCATTTTTTGTTTGAAACGCAGCCCCCATTTAAGCTTTATCATGAGCCATGCGGGGCTAGGGTACTGGTGGACCTGGGACAAAATAACATCCTTTTTCAGAACATGTGACCGTCCGCGGGCCAAACGGAAGAACCTTTGAGGGCACCCTCCCCCAGGATGCACTTAGAACATCCAGCAAGCAGGCAGAACATGAAGTAGGGCACCCTTCCCGAACCGACCTCAACTCATACCTCGGTCCGACCGCACATCTCACGAAGAGAGGTGCCACGTGCCACGGACCTTTCGTGCCCCGGGAAGCGCAAAATCCCAAGCATGCGGCGTCCCGACTTTGTCAACGCGGGGCCCCGGGAAGTCCCGGCCTCTTCCCCGGGACCGGCTTTTCGTCCTGAACTGTTCTTGTGGACGGTCCCGAGGCCACGCCAGGGCCCCCCGAGGCCGAACACGGCCAAGCATTCGGTCGGTCGCGTCCTCCTATACGAGCGGATTTGGGACGACAGATAACACATATCTTAAGAACTAGCAGCAATGGCCAAAAAAGTACTCAAAACATCGCCCGCGGGACTGTTTTGGAACTGTTTTCGAATCTTCCTCCCGTAGAAGGACGTGCCCGACCTAAGCCAAGCACCGCCCGTCCTGAGCTCTGCGCGGCGCGATCATGCCTGGGCTCCCCGACCCGCCCTCGATCCTGTGCCTCGGTCCGACCGCATGTCCCCAGGGAGGCGGGTCGGGGTCGAGGACGCCCTCCCCCAGGATGCACTACTAGGAGGCATCTACTGGAAGGCTCTCAGCGGAAATATTAGAGAGGATTCAACCCCATTTGGGAACTGCTCCGACGGAGTGGGCCTCGGGCGAAGCAGGATCAAGCCGGATCAAGCGGGATTCAACAGGATCCAGCCGGATTCAGCGGGACTGCGCTGGATCAATCCGGATTGCGGACCAGGGCAAAATCAGAATTTGACCTCCCAGGAGCTGCATCCGAAACACTCGAACATCCAACAATCGGGGATGGACAGACCTCCCTTTAGTAAAACGTGGTTTAGTGTAAACGCTTTCGGGCCCAAACCTGGCGGGCGCAAGCCTGGAAAATAACGGCCACGGCGCCTCTCGAAAACCGAAAACGGACAATTCACTAATCGACGTGTCACTGTTGGGGGTTCTGTCCACCCCCGAAACAAACACTAACAAC